TAGAAAACATGCCCCAGCGCCACTTTGTCCACCAAAAATCCCACTTGATCAGACCCGGGATCCAACCTGGGCCGCCACGGTGGGAGGCTAGCAACTATCCAAAAGAATGATGAAAAATGAAGTGCCAACGGCACGTGGTGTTCCCAAGCTATGGCACAGCCATATGGGTAGTGAATTACTCTTCAACCTGTAGATTTAATAGCCACACATTATAGAGGTCCAGATTTATTGTTCAGTTAGAGTGGTTCTTCATGATATCAAAATTTTCTTGATAATATTTTCAGTTCACCATCTATGTCAGAAGTATGCAACCAAAGCGCATAACATTGCTAGTACTGATAACTTGTATAAAGAGAAACAGTCTTAAATGAAAGGTTCCACTTAGTAATCAGTAATGCCTCTTAAGAATGATGAAAGCCCCTTCTACTTTGGGTTTCTCTATCTTAGCGCCTCTTAGTGTTCTGTCACTCTCACATGTTGGAAAGGTATTCCTTGTAGATTATGGCAAAACAAAATATCAGTTTAAATTCTGATTCCCCACACCTCTTCCTTTTTCTTCTCCCCTGCTCCTAGCATCATTTCTATTTTATACAAGTAGTGGGCAGAAAGTTTGCAGTCTCTTCCATCTTTCTATGGTCTTTCCCTTTTTGATAACTGTTTCTCTCCTTCTGATGCCTTTTAGGACCTGGTTGAACTGTCTTGTTCTGGGTCATCTGATAGGTTCCTTTCCTTTAAATTCTAATTCTAGTGCCCTCCAAAATCCTTGTTCTTTCCTCAGCTGAGGCATTTTGGTCATTTCTCTTGTAAGTCTGTTAACCAGTTACAGATGCAGGCTTCTGTAAAAATATTATCCCCCCCACATCTCTTCTGCAGAATAAACTGAAACTACAAACATTCTGGCTTATGTCACAGTGTATTTGGTAGGACTATTTCTTGTCTGTTGATGCAAACTTTGAATGAGTAGCTTGATATTACTGGCTAGTTCAAGAATCATTGGTCGACCAGAATAAGCATTCTCACCTAATATTATACACCTTATTATGTGGTTGTGATTCGTGATGCAAAATAGTTATAGTTGTCACATTGCACTGTGGTGTTGTTCTGTTATTGTCTGGTAGATTGTGTTAATGTGCATGTGATGGGAAACAATTGAAATTGTAACAATGTTTAGAAAGATAGTTCTCAATCTCACTCAAGATTTGCTCATGTTTGTCATTTCTATGGGTTATGTTATGTTTTTTTTTTTATGTATGACTGAACGTTAAGATAACTTGGGCAAGACTTGAATCTGGATCACCTGATTACATGTCAGGTGCTCTTAATCTCTAAGTTGCCAGGCACACCTTTCTCTGTCTTCACTGGTTGATGATGAAACCTCTGGAGTTTGTGCCAGGATGGTTCAACCTCCTCTGATTCTCTTACACGGATGTGGGGCTGTATTGTTTGGAAGAGAACGAACTGTCTTTCCCTCCAATTTTATAGATAACTCAACTATAATCATCACAAGAATATCAGGAGTCTGGGTTAGCACCATCTACTTTTGAAAATATCTCATAAATGCATCTAAATTAGTTGTATGCTTTAAAAATATTAGTTTTCTTAAAGAAAGGCATGCTTGGCACCTTTAGTGTAATACATTTTTAAAAATATCTATTAAAACTTAAATTAGAGTGTTCATGGATGAAGTAAGGCGTGAACCATGCTAGTACTTTTATTATTAAGGAAGCTATTTAAATGTGTAGTGTTGTGTAATTTGAAAATTGAAGCTTCTCGCAAAATCTTATTATCTGTGAATGTTGTAATAATGAAGCTCTTTGACATAAATCGAGACAGTGTGAAGAAATGGATCATGTTGCAGTCAATGCTTGAAGAGAGATATTGCAGCTGTTGTCTTGTGTAATAAGTTTATTTGAAAATAGAGCAGAAATATGTGGTGGAAGAGAGAGGAATATTATGAGCCCTTACCATTTGTAACATTAACATAACGCAGATGTGCCTGACATAGGGAAATGATGATGCTTAGAGAGCAGTGCACCTGATGTGTATTCAGAGGACCCAGGTTGCTTCCTTCCCAGTCCCTACCATATTTTTGTCAACTTTAATTTTATATTAAGGCAATGCAGGATTACTGAGATGAACATAAGGTTCACAATGTAGCTACTGTCAAACTGTTCTCCCCAGCATGCAGCATAATATTATTTTTCAAATGATGCACTTTTATCATATTTCTAGCATACAGAATGATTTCATATTTTAGATACACTTTTATCATATTTCTCCAAATCACTAGAAATATTTGTAAGATTTGAGGCTTTCACGGCGGTGACTATGAAGAAAACAGTCTTCTGGGATTTGGCACCGTGTATATGTGGTGTTAACCGACGTTTCGGAGGAACGTATCGCCTCCATCTTCAGGGTAGAAGAAAAAGTATGAGAAATCTGCAAGCGACAAGACCGTGAGAACGGTAAAAGCAGACTGCAAGCGACAAGACCGTGAGAACGGTAAATTTACCGTTCTCACAGTCTTGTCGCTTGCAGATTTCTTATACTTTTTCTTCTACCCTGAAGATGGAGGCGATACGTTCCTCCGAAACCTCGGTTAACACCACATATACACAGTGCCAAATCCCAGAAGACTGCCTTCTTCACTAGAAATATTTGTTTAGTTTATGTCTGAGCTTAATTCTCTTGTTCCATTGGAAAAAATAACTTATTTGTTTAAATTGAAGAAAGGATATGCATGGCCTGAGGTTCTCACAGCAGTGGCTACAAAGAGTTCTTTCATCTATGATGTTATGCCATATAGTCTATTGAAAGAATAGTTAAATAAGTTATGCTTTCAAAATGTGGCTGAAATATTACTTCAGGAGGCTTAACAGTAACGTTATGTTTCTTGTAATATTTGAGGTTTATGTTTCTTCCTAAACAGAGGCAGAATTGTACAGAATAAATTGTTTATTAGGAAGTTTCACCAGTAATTTAGGAAGATATATCAAATGTCTGTTGCAGTGAAGTTATCTGTATAGGTAACACTTTCAATGGATCTTGTTTGTTATGTGTTTTCAAGGTTAGTGAATTCTACACCTGGTATTCGTGCATTGCCACTTATTTTACTCAAGTTTTCTGCCTGTTTTATTACCATACGTTTTAAACAGCATGTCACCAATATTGAAGATTTAGAATTCTCCTGCCATAACTGATAAAACAGGATTGCATGTTGGGGATGGTTGCTTCAAAACTGTAACAGGCGCAATATAATCTTGTGTGAATTTATCCTATTATTCGTGTTGACCCCTAATTTCAAAATTCTGTCAGTTAACGAACTTCACATGTCACTGACCTGAAGAAATTATCAGCTTTTAAGAAACCCAAAGATTCATTGCCATGTTCACATAAATGTAGTAATGGTCTTTTCCTTCATCATTTCTTCTTCCTCACAGAGTTTGGATATTGTATTTCCCCACTCCAAAGTAAAGCACACTATCAGTGCTTCTATCTTTTCCTGCGTTTTCCACAGTCTCCTTGTGTGCAGCATCTGTATTGCATTGTTGCTGTGGGTAGACAGTATGCTGGCATGAATCGCACATGTTCCATTTCTGAAGGTATTTTCAAGTTTTATGTATCGTACTTTCTTCGTGACATTGCTGTCAACTGTTTCCCTTTTGGATGTGTCCAAATTTACACCTGTCATTATAATAAGTTGGAACCATAGGTCGTGGGTTCAAGTCCCGATGAGGTCATTGGATTTTTTCAGCTTACCAAATCCTTCCAGCCACACTATGGCCCAGGGGTTGACTCAGCCTCTAACAGAAACAAGTACCAGGAATTAATTAAATAATTTTCCTGGGGAGTAAAGCCCGGCCGGCACATAAGGCTGACAACCTTACCGCCATCTTTGAGCCGATTGTCTAGATAATGTGGGACCCTCAACGTCTCACAACCCTATGGGCCTCCACGGCCTGGTACAGGGATGGCTTTACTTTACTTTTTACTTTTACCATTAGTTGCACATTATTCTCAGTGTAGTACGTTTGGAGTATTCTCAGAGTACTCTCATTTGATTAGTATTTTACCCATTCTTTAATAATGGTTTATTCTTTTTTTTCTTGTCACTACTGCCCAGTTTAGGGATTGGAATCATTGATTGCACATGTCTTCCAGTCCTTATTCAGGAGAGCTGTAGGACTCCTTGGATGGAGGGTCAGATCATTGTTAGAAACGTATAGTGCCAAGAAAAGTAAGTCGTTTATCATTTTATGATTGAAAACGTGTATTTATTACCTAAAAGAAGAAGAGGTTAATTTATAATGCTTTCCCCTTAATTGACATAATTGACATACAGGGCAATAACACTTGTGTAACAAAGTTTGCAGTAATACCTGAAAGCAAAAGATGAATCAACCATTATTAATTGGTGATAAGTAACCAATTCATAAAAATATTATTAATCAATTAACAGTACTAGCAATACTCCAAATGTACTACAATCAAATTGAGGTGTGAATAAATTGTTGTCATTTATTATTACTTTAAATGATGTATATTTCCAGATAAATTTTTTCTAAAATTCTTTGATTCCTGTGACCATTACTTACCGTATCATTGGCAAGACAGCCCTTCTTGAGCCATATTGCATCTGGTTTTCACATTCTTGGATTTTGTGACAAATGTTTTTACAGACACCGGGTTCCCTTTTCATCACCTTCTACGACTTGCAAGGCTATAGTGAGGGTATTCTAACCTGTCTCCACATGGGGAGTGACCATCACTTGTCATCACAAAAAAAGACCATGTCCAAAATTCAAACATTCAACAGCGACCAACAAAGATATCATTTTATGGCATTACCAGAAACTGAAGGAACATACATAGCTTATGTGTCTAAAAAATCTTATAAAAGGAGGAATTCTAGATCACGTTCCTGTAGTTATATCAGTTGTTTCCTGTTCCTAAAACATGTAGGTACTATTGCAATTAATGTGCCATAACTGATTCCACAGAAGCAGTAGATCCCTACCGCAGTTGGTCACCACTGACAGAGGAAGGCTATGCAGAGAAACTTCGGTTATTGCGAGAAGCTGCTTCCATTCCCATGGAGCGATGGCGAGCTCCCACTGTCTTAGCGTGGCTTGAGATTGCACTTGGCATGCCCCAGTATGGTCCTCGTTGTGCTGAGAACGTTAAAAGCGGCAAGGTGAGCACAAATGCAAGGACTGACTGCTACTTAGAAGATCCCGTTTGCCTGTGGACACAGGCAATGAGTTGTATTAGTAGGTTTAAAATCAGCTCACCACTAAAGAGACTGAAATTTTACTTTGTGAAGTACAGTAAGTTTTTAATTTCTTATATAAAAGTTGTGTAATAGAACTCTGCTTCATGGGAGAGATGGAGTGATGTTACTGTGTGCTCAGGTGCTCTTAGAGCTGAGTGATGTGGAACTGGAAGTGGGGTTAGGCATCACGCACCCAATGCACCGGAAGAAACTGCGCTTGGCCATTGAGGAGCACAGGCATCCAGCATTGGTGCGGTATCCCTGCATTGCCCAGCTGGGTCACACCTGGGTGTCAAGTGAGTGGCTACCAGACCTTGGACTAGCTCAGGCAAGTGCCATGTTTAATGTCCATTTCGCTCAATCTGGCAGTAGTTACCAGACCTCGTACTAGCTCATGCAAGTGCCTTGTTTCATGGCTACTCCTCTTATCTGACAATAGTTACCAGACCTTGTACTAGCTCATGCAAGTGCCTTGTTTCATGGCTACTCCTCTTATCTGACAATAGTTACCAGACCTTGGACCACCTCAGACAAGTGCCATTTTTCATGGCCACTTCATTTATCTAGCAGTAGCTACCAGACTTCGGACTCAGGCAAGTGCCATATTTCACGGCCTTTTCACTTATTTAGCAGTGGTTAACAGACCTTGAACTAGGTCAAATATCTCAGTTTTAATAAATGATAAAAATCAGTTTAGGTTTGTTTTATGAAATTATTTGTGAAGCAACTCATTTTACTGTATTGACAAATTTGTCGAGCATGTAAGGAGCTCAAAAGTTAAAGAGTTAATAAATGGTCTGTGTGCTTGTTGTAGTGTGGCAGTACGTATGATGGCTGTGTTTGTTATGAATTTTATTGTGTAATAATGGAACTGTACTGATGATATGGCTTGCCAGTGTGTGTGGAATGGCAAGGTGTCAATTTGACAGTGGTTCTTCCATGGCCTATGTGTGTTGTCTTGACAACTTGTGCTGTCTGCGTGAGGCCTGATTATACATTTTATTGGAGCAAGGACGTATGATGTGTAGTCATCATGGATTTGTAATGTATGACATGTTTTATATCCAGCCCTACGGGGAGATGATTGGATCCATGAATTGAAAATAAACATAAATGTAAATGCAAATGTAGATCAGAGAAGAGCAATATTTCACCACTACTTAACTAGAACCATTAGCCTAATGTTGATGTACTTTTTCCAGTTTAACGTTCTGGCAGATTTATGTGTAATGAATTGGAAAGGAATGGTAGGAAGCAATCATCGTTAGGCCTAGTATACTTTTTCTGAAGTGGGGACACCATACCATAGTTGGTTTAGGCACTATGCTACAAGCCAGAAGGTTGTGGGTTCAAATCCTGGTAAGGTTATTGGATTTTTCAATTCGCCTAATCCTTCCAGCTGCACTGTAATCTTGGGGTCGACTCAGCCTCTTGCAGAAATGAGTACAGGAATCTTCCTGGGAGTAAAGGGTGGCTGGCGTGTAAAGCTGACAACCTCACTGCCATCTGTGAGCCTATTATCTGGAAAATATAGGAGCCTCAACGTCTCCAACCCCTATGGACCTCCACGGCCTGTTACGGGGATAGTTTTTTAACATTTTTTCCTTTAAGTCTTGCAGTTTTTGCGACATTAAACAGAGAGAAGAAATCATATAAGAACTGTTACATTATGCACACTTTTCCTGCCTTACTTACTTATTAAATTATATGTGTGGAAGTGTTGCTACACTTTATGATTAATAATTCCACTTTCAGAGATTGGCTATGGGTCCGTCTTTATGTAAGACATTTTCCTTGCTCCCATCCCATTTTATAGCCTGCACTCACAGCAGTCATGTTCCTGCTGTGTTCTCACTGAGTTGCCAGATAATGTGTAACGTTCTCATGTTCTGCTCTGTGTAGTATTCAGAGAATTTTGCCACCAATATGGTGGATGCAAGGATGCTGGACCATCTTAGCAAGAAGGAGCTAGAAAAGTTCCTTGGAGTCACAAGGAAGTTCCATCAGGCATCGGTGGTACACGGCATCCACCTACTGCGCATGATGAAGTATGACCGACAGGTGAGTTCAGGGTTTTGTTGTTTTACTGGTTTTTCATAACACCACTTCAGTAAGAGAAATCTCATAGAAGGATAAGCTGCAGAAACTAAACAAACAAACCTGTACCCTTGTGTGGGTTCCTACTTAAGTTGTCACTTGTTATGCGTCTGTTACTCTTGATCCTAACTGTAGGCTGTCTCCATCTTCGGTATGGAAGTTACAAGAGCGTGTGATTATTGTTATCATATAGGTTGATGGTCCAACAGACCCAGGAAAATGAGAAAGGTAGGGGTCAGAGCCTGCTCCAGGCAATTAGAAACAGTGTATGGGAATCATAAAAAAAAAAGGCCCTTGTAAGGGTCACCATGTCCACCAAAAGCCATCAGCATATGGTGTCCCTAAGCTGTCCCCATTCAAGTGCTCACACCACACATTGTTGCTTAACTTCCTCTGCTGGGGTTAAGCCATGTTGGAAAAGGCAGGTCAGGTCTTTGTTCATCAGGGGTGGGTTACACTGGGATTGGAAGGAAGGGAAGAGGGAATGGTGCATCGTGGAAGGATGATGGAAAGTTGGTAGGACATACACTTTTAGAGAAATACTCTGTTGTTTTAGGGCCCAAAGAGTAATCATCACTAGAAACTCCCATAGCCCCCCCCACCAACCACAACCATGGTATGACTCAGTGTAATACACCAACATGTNATTAAAAGATTTTCTTGAAAAAAGGAAAAAATAATATAACACTGTAAATATTGGTACAATGATGTCATGATTGCCATCAGAAATACTTGTCTAGCTTTATGCATAGAGAATCATCCACAGTATAAAAAGAATGCTTATGTAAATAATTTTTTAATGCTTTAACCCTCTGCCCCTCCTAATATCGAATTTACAAGTACCTTGCCCTTTTTCAGATAGTGAAATGTATTAAAGCCAGATTACACAGGCCTCTAGTTGTATACGCTTCCGCTATATGTGTTTTCACAAATTGACAGCTTTATTCCAGTATCACGAGGAGCACCAATAGCAGCTGCCAGACATGGCCAGTGAGTTGTGTGTGCGGTTCCCTTGATTGACCCCAACAGCCTGACTCACTTACCATTCCCTACTCCTTCACTGAATTTCAGATATATTGTCACATATAAGGGGGTACATGTGACGAATATTGGGTTCTAGATCAGAAGATTGGATTTATTGGCACTTCAGTTACAGTCTCTCTTAATTACAGTCAAGACAGCACTATCGCTGATTACACACTTTCCAGTTCACTGTTTGCACACGCACTGGGTTCTCAGTTTCCACTAGTCGTCTCCTGGCATTGGATTTTAACACAGGAACGATCACTTCAAATCACTATGAAGTCTTCTTTGACCCGGTTCCCAATCCTAATACTCTCTCTCAAATCCACTGTATGGCTGGAATCTCCTAGTCTGAATTTGCAACTCCACTGAAATCAGCTCTCTAGTATAATCTAATAATGAGCAGACTTGCATTATATTGCCTCTGCACAGACCAACACACAGAAAACACAGCTTCCTCTGTTGTGTGATGCCTCTGTTGGAGTTACAACATGATTGCCATCCGGCCAGTTCATTGGCACGCTGACTGCTGCCTAGCAAGAAGCTGTAACATTCATCCATTGAGAACACAGCTCCCATTATTTTGTGTTGGAACATGTTTACAGAGCTGTTGCCTAGCAATACGTCACAATATATAATCATTTTCATGTATACAACTGCCATTATAACGATAGCCACCTACATTATTTTCTGGGATGTGATGTCATGATAATAGGTAGGTTTGTAGAAAAGTTTCAGAGGATCCTGCTGTCTCCATCTTCAGGGCAGAAGAGCAACCCTTACAAACAAATAATGAAATTATTTGCCTGAAACAAAAAATAAATTAGGATATGTATTGACTGAAGTGAATGTCAGAGTTGATTCTAGAGGGTTCTGACAGTGGCGTTAACCTTGGGATTACTGAGTTTTTGGATTTAGTCCATCACCTGTTTTCTAAAGAACACTGATGAACACAACGTTTCAGAATCTGGATCTGTTTTCATCCTCAGATGAAGGGGTGGGAGACATCTACTCTGTTAGTCAATTAGAGAAAGCTAACCTCAATGGCTGGATTTAAGTTAATTGTTTTCTGTAAATTTCAATACAAAGTAAAAGACAGTAAAACCAATGGAATGATAAAAATTTTGAATCATATGGCCACTCTTTACTCTACGAAATACAGCTGTTGCATAACTTGGGAGGATATCTGTATTTAAGATATGCTGTATCACCAGAACTCATTGCTGTGTTTATTGTACAGTGTACATCAAGAATTACGTTTGGTTACATTTAATTTTGAATGATAGAAGTGCAGAATTTCAGAACTTTTAACCTTTGACTCTGTCCTGCAGGCTCTCGCTGTGCGAAGACATCAGTGTGAGAGCATTGATGCAGACCCTCTTGTGTGGACCAATCAGAGATTCATCAGATGGGCCCGAAACATTGACCTGGGTGAATATGCTGAGAATCTCAAAGGTAAGGAATTACTTGTGTAAAGTGATTCTTGCACACTGTGTTGTTGTCTGGAATGAAGACGCAAACATGTGATTTGATTGATATGACAATACAGGGCCGGTTTTTAAATTTGGTATAGAATTTATGCATGCAAGGGTACATTACTGAAGTGCTGCCCTAAGATGTCCCCACATTCCAATCTATGCCAAAAAACTGGCTATAGTGACTGAGGCTTCTCTTGGTTTTCTTCCATTCCTCCAGGCAAGTATCTCTTAAATAGGCCATGGCTACTTCCGTCCACATCCTTCCCAATTCATTATGGCTGAATCGTCCTACCATCTGAGGCTATATAACCTGAATTACTGTCATCAGCATTAAAAAAGTCCATAAATAATTAAATTAAAATTACTATCTTACGAGATGTGATGCCCAGAGATTTGGTGGAAGTTCACCGATGTTCACAGGAACATACTGCATGCATCTTCAGAGTTAAAGAGTAAGCCAAACAAGTAACCAGCATGAATCAAGTAACATAAATAAATGAACATATTATTATGCGATTGAGTGTGATTATATATGCTGTTTGGATTGATAATGGGATTTATTGAACACTTACGGATCCGACTACAAGTAACTATAACACTGTCGCTAATTCACACACTCAGCCGTTCACTACAGCATGTACTGGGTCTTCTCAGTCTGCTATGTCTTCACAAGTTTTCAGATAACGGCTTCCAACGGCAGACATTCCCCTTCCTCTGGGTTTCTGAACTGCACCCATGTGTCAGCCACCAGCTTCTAACAGCAGCAGCTAACAAGGACTGAACCACAGCAGTCCTCTAACTAACTCACTCACTCACTCACTAACCAACTCGCTCAACTCCACTGACTAAAACTCCCAGGCTGGCGGCCATCTCAAACCAACCTCCTATGCTTCACACTGCCGTCTCAAGACTCTAAGACCCTTCTTATGGCAACTGGCCCTTGTTATATAGCCTTGGCATGGACCACACAGAGAACACTGCCCCCATCAGCTCTTCCATTGTTGTGTGCTTGTCTGTTGTGGCCATTACCTAGTAATGGCCATTGTTTACAGAGCCATTACTTAGCAGCAGCTATTATATGACTGCTTAATTTGTGCTCGATGCCTAGCAACAGGTCTACATGCCACTCTGTATTCTACATTCCACTTCACAGCGATATGGACCTCTGTTGCCTGTGCTGAAGTATAAATAAAGTTGCCTTGGTGAGTAAGCTCCATGGGTTCATCATGCCAAATCCAATAGAACAGTTTGTGCTGACCTATACTGTGAGAGTACTGAGTAGAGCCCATTGGGTAGCGACTTTGACTTGAAGACACAGCCGGTATGGAATTCTGAAATGTCAGTATTGCATCCTAATGCCATTACGCGGGGACAGAATCTGCACTGACTGTGATCTACCATGAAAGGTGGAAGCCTTCTGGTTAAATTAGTTCATTGCCAGGCAGAGGATAAAGCAGTGGTATTTAATCCTTCAAAACTCCTAAAATGCACCGCACAGATGACTAATGCTTTCAGTGAATATGTTCAATTGCAGACAGTGGTGTACATGGGGCACTAGTCGTTCTGGAGCCATCATTCAATGGGGACACGATGGCAACAGCCTTGGGTATTCCACCGTCAAAGAACATTATACGACGTCATCTGGCAACAGAGCTGGAAGCTCTTGTTCTGCCGGCAAGGTATGTCATCTTCTGCCAGATGGAGGAATACCAAGCTGAGGTGAACAGGGCTGTCAATAACGTGAAGCACATCACCTCAAGATAAGCTCGGTGGTGCATTAAGATGCGTGTTTGATGAGGCTCTGAAAGTAACACATAATCTGTTTTATTTGGTCCATGTTTGCTTATCAGAGGTCAGTATCTTAGCATTTCCCTCCTTGCAGTTTTGATGCTGGCTTGTCTATAGCCCAGACACTTTCAGCAATTTATTAGTGATTGAATTATTTCGTGGTGCAGGAAAGCGTAACACCAAGCAGGTTGGTATATTTGGGATATCTTTTGTTCAGATCTCAGTGAGGACACTGGCTATCTTGGCTGAGGGTTTTTATGGTTTTTCTCAGTCCCTCCAGATAAAAGCCAAGATAGTACCTCAGTTAAATCATGGCTGCTTTCTTCCAAGTGGTTTCCAGTTTGTTATAACCTGTGATCATACCATTTGGCACTGTATAGTCTTATATACTGACAGTGTCATAAAATGAACAAGGAGCATAGGAAACTATCACTGTATGTTCATAGAATCATAGATATCAACACAATTTAGTGACAAGAAACTACATGCTCAAAATCTGTTCTGAAAAAGGAATATTTGGCTTGTCAGGGTATGTCACTATTCAGTCTAGGTCAGATGTGGTAATATGGACAAAACACTGGCAAATGATCGAATTCAGATATGGGAATGAATGTGTTTGGTCATGAAATGTGATGTTACAGTTACATCTGCTCATTTGTTCAGCGTCTTGTGTTCTTGTACCTGAAGTTGTTTAGTCCATCTGGGTAGAACTTTGTATAAGGATTGTCCAAGCAAGAGGCCTTGAATATTCAGGTTGAAAGTCTTCTGGAAGCTTTCCCCCAACTGATCCACATAGCCCAAATCTAAATGTTCACAGGATTTATATTAATCCATTTTGAGGCCAGGTTACATATATGTGATTCAAGTGTCAGCATTGTGTGAAATGTATTTTACCCATGAAAATCATATGGAAATTTTAGAAGGAAGGGGCTTTCCTATTAACGGAGGTGGAAGCTTTTGAATATATGGTTCACTCTGTAGGGTTTAAACCTGGGAAAACTGAGGTGCCAAATAAACATGCTAACGTAGATTGAGATCTTGTATGTTATAACATTATGTTGCCTGGTCAGTGGCTACCAGTGTTTTGGAGGAACACCCTTCTTCCACCTTCTGGAAGTTACCTTTGTATGGAGATATTTTCATAGTAAAAGGCTGAAGCATTATGTTCATCCAAAACTTTGTTATCAGCCTACCAGACTACATGAAGTAATGACCTAGAAGGTTACAGTATAAAAGAATATAAATTTGTACTTTCAAGGCCTCATGCTGGGTAAGCAGTCCCATTGTATACTTAAAGTTCTGTCTCAGCTTAGACTGAAACAAAAGGAATCAAATAATTTAGAGTTTAAAAAGACATGTGTAACATCGCTTTTAGAAGTGGACACATTTTGTTGTGACTTCATGACAGATATATTTATGCTTAAATTAGAAATATATATGTATATATATAATCCATTCTTACACCAAAATTGAATAATACATTAGATTAGATTTATTAGAAGAAGTTAAGTGCTTCAGATAAACAATTTGTCATCCCAAATGTGAATGGTAAAGAGAATTTGTGCTAATTAGGTGTGCTGATGTACTTTCCATGAACTTAAGAAAAATAAATCCATATGCTTCCATTCTTGTAATTCTGGCAACAATTAGCAATTGTTAGGCCAGAGCACTTGCCAGGATGAGATCAAGGGTAACTAGTTACAGGAAGGTCAGAGAATGTCCCCAGGTATTGCAAATGCATGTCATTGTGACATCCCTTGTAAGCAACCCCAGCAACTGTACTCATCCAAAATAAGTACAGGCATTTGTCATGTTCTAATTAAAATAAATTCAGTTTAAGTTTATGCTTAACTTTTGGTTGCCATGTATTGTTTCGTTGCAGTGATGCATCACATGGTTCAGAATTGCAGTTTCTCAGAACTGATCTGTCCCCCCCCCAGTTTAAAATGAAGCTTCCAACCCCACCGTGCTATGTGATTTAGAACCCTGTATTCCTGGACGTTAAACTGTTAGCGCCCCCCCAAGTGAAACTGGTCATTACCCCCATTAAATAAAACTGGTAGATGATAAATCCTCCATTCCTGGACAATGTAGATTGATAAATGTTCAAAGTAAAATAAACAGCAATATGTTGATTTTAAAGGGTTTTGATGATTGTGTGTAACATTCATTCATTCATTCATTCATTCATTCGTTTACATCTAGAATTTCCATATATGGCTGGAAGATCAGTGGATATGAAAATAGTCAAAGACAACAGGACAAATCCCATCAATTATGTAAATAAAAACTAATTATACTTAATCCGTAACGATTATACATGTTACCGAAGACAAATCACAATGAGTAAATCATTAAAACAGTTATAGAATATATATGTAAAAGCATGCAACATATTATGTAATATGACACAAGACTAGAACAGTGAAACATAAAAGCATACTACTAGGCATCCAGTGCATAACAGACCAAGATCGTTAATTAATATCGAAGTTAAAATATTCCTCCAGTAAGTAAAATGAATTTAAGAGTAGAAATCTTTTTAGAGTAAATCTAAATTGTTTCGTATTATGAGCTAAGTTCTTTGTGCTAGAAGGAAGATTATTAAAAACTTTGATTCCAGAATAGTATGTTCCTTTTTGGAATATTGTTAAATTACATATTGGATGATGGAAATTGTTATTGTGTCTTGGTATTATTGCTATGAATCTCACAGTCAAATTTAAATTGTTCTGTGTTTTTAAGCATAAATAACGAGAGAAAATATTTACTGTGATTGGAGGGACAAAATTTTCAGTTTCTTAAACAATTCCCTGCAAGAGTCTCTACTTCTAGAATTAGTAATAATTCTAATTACCCTTTTCTGTAGTCTAAAAATATGAATACGATGGGGAGAATTGCCCAAAAAATTATACCATAAATCATAACAGAATGAAATTATGAGAAATAAATCATTCTTATTGTTTTCTGTGACATAAGGTTTAATGACCCTGATTGCATAACAGGCTGAACCTAATTTAGACATAAGCCAGTTGATATGTCCTTTCCATGTCAACATATTGTCGATAATTATTCCAAGAAAATTTGTAATAGTAGATTTAGCAATCTGATTGTTAGCATAGTCATTATGTATATCCCGTGGGTTTTTGGACTTTGTCCATCATCTGGTATTCTAAAGAATACAAAAGAACACAACGTTTTAGAATCCTGGTCTGTTTCTGTCCTTGGGTGAGGGGGGTGGGAGACACCAGTGACTGAGGTTAGCTGTTTCTCATGGACCCAACAAGGTAGGTTAGGTGAGGAGGAAATCAGATCCAGTTTCTTAAGAGTTGTGTTCTGTAGAATATCAGATGATGGACAAAGTCCAAAAACCCAGTAATCCTGAGTAGTATCATGTTAGCCATGGCTGGTTCTGGTTTTACAGTTTGACTTCCACATTAATTCTTTGTCTGTTTCCATGCTATGAATGAGTAACTCACCTAGAACCACTGTACGCTGCCCAGCTTCATTGCCTGTGTGTCACATCACTGTCACAGTATATTTGCGGGCTTGGTAAGCCGTGGTGGCCCTAGCATCACATTGTTTACAATATAAATTACTTTACTACCAAATTTGAAATATGTTGAATTTGGGGTTCTCACAGTAGCGGCTGTGAATATAACACCTCGCAGCCCAGTGAAAGTCAAACAGCGTTTCGGAGAAACATATCACTTCCATCTTCAGGGTCAAAACGTAATCCAAGCTTCATGTTAGTCTCTTGTTTGGCTTACTCTTCACCCCTGAAGATGTAGGTGGTATGTTCCACCAAAATATTGGTTGACTGTCACACATTACACAAGCTATATCTCAGAAGACAGAAAGTTTAAACCTGGCCTCCACCACCATAGTAGCAGGGTACTTAACTCTGGATGATAAACATTGTCAGTGAAAGTATACACCCCTTCTCCCATCCCCTGGACATTTCAAACATGTGTGAGTTCTTTTGCCAATGGAAATTGTAGCTGTGTTGCCATGGATATAAATGAATAAAAAATTATCATTTTCTTTCCTAAAATAAGTTTGGGATCAAAAGATCTCATTACAATGAAATGGAAGATGAGAAGTAAATATAAAATTCGCCAGAAAAATTTTTGAAAATTCGACTCTGTTACTGCATTAAAATATCGTTCATAGTTTTTGAATGGTTAAAATAGTTATGTTGCCGTCATCTGGTAACCTCCTCTCCTAGGCCACTTTTGAGAGCCTATATTATGTATCTTTTAGAGATTGGACATATTTGATTAGTGAGCCTAGAGAAGGAAACAGATCTTATTTATGTAAGCATATGTTGCAATTTTATATCATCTGCCTGGGGTTGTAGGGTTGACACAGTGAAGAATTGAGACCAGTTGTGGACAGGTGTCAAGGAAGTGAATTTCAACCGTGAAAATGTTCACACTATGAAATACTAAAGGTAATTATTGTTATATACTGCATTTCCAAGGTTAAATATTTCAGTATTGTATTACTGCCAACTCTTATGAACATGACAGCATTTAATTAGATCTGGTTCTTTTTTTCATAGATCTGCAGTTAAGAGTTTAGATGGGCAGAAAATAACTAAGAATCATACCATAGAATGTACCATATGCCCTCACATTGCTGATGTTTGGATTATGGAATTTTTTCCCTAATGGAAATTTTAAAACGTGAACATAAAATTCAAAATGTGGAACATAAATTTATCCTTACAGAGATATGAGAGAAATGTTTAATTTTCTAAAAGTGCTGAAAGACTAAAAAACAACAGAAACTAACTCCTAACAGGATATATAGTTATGTAGTTAATGGCTGCCAGGTATAGGTGCAAATGTCAGTGGCTGGTTGTGGGGATACTATATCCAAATTATTT